TGTCTAATTGCTCCTGTGTTTTGGTCTCTCTGACTTCCTCTTCTGCTGCCAGCCTGAGGACATTCTCTGCTTTTTAAAGGGCTGGTGTGAGTAGATGAAGCACACCCAGAACATGGCCTTGATTTCCTCTATAAATTCTCCTTCACTGGGTTTGCTCGTGGGAGTCATGCTGGGAGGCCAAAGTCATAGGAGGTGCCTTCGAATTCGGCCAACCACACCTATCTTTCCTACATGAACTATACTCATTTTTTAAAAGATTTTCTTTATTTTAAAGAGAGAGAGAAAGCACATGCGCATTTGGGAAGGAGGAGCAGAGGGAGAGGGACAAGCAGACTCCATGCAGAGTACAGAGCACCATGCGGGGCTCAATCCCACGACCCGGCGATCATGACCTAAGCCAAAATCAAGAGTCAGATGCTTAACGGACTGAGCCACCCAGACTTCCCCCTACATGAGCTATATTTAAAGGCAACCCAAAAGCCTTAGTTGATGAGCAGAAGTAATAAAGATGGAAGGAATGGCATTATTAGGAAACGCCCATTTGGCGACTCCCTAAAAAAATAAGCAATTTAGGCAGCTAGCGTCAATGAAAATGAAACCAACGGCAGATGACAGCTTGATGAGGAACTGCAGAGCTGACCACACCTGAACCCACTCTAGAGACAGGACTACTGAGTAACACCTACGTGTCATGTGCCTCCAGCCATGAAAGTACACAGCACCACCTGTGAAGTACTCTTACCAAAAAAGTCGAACCAATCTAATTAGCTGTTAGAGCTAGCTTTCAGTTTACAGGAAATACAGAAAATAGAAGTGCATTTTAAATGATCTCATGAAGAAGGGAACAGAAAAATCCAGAATGTGGAATATTCTGCAATACAACTGACCCAGTTTCTTCAAGAAGTCAATTAGGGGAGGTGAAGGGTGGGGACACCTGTTCCAATTTAAAAGAGACATTATTACGAACTACAATATAAGAACAATATTTGGATCCTGATTCAAACCAACCAAGAATGGACATTTTTAAGTTAATCAGAAAAAATGTGACTCTAGACTCAGAATTACAGTAAGCATCACCATTAGATATTAAACTAAGAATCATCGTTTTCATTGGTTGGGGTAAAGATTAAGGTTGTATAAGAAAACATCTGTAGTTTTTAGAGATGCATACAGGGCTGAAGCCCTATAAAGGGCTTGCTAATTGCTTTATAACATTTTGGCAGTCACACAGAAAGGGGATGGACCAGGCCAGTGGAGCAGAATGTTGCAAAAGAATGAACCTGGCTGATGCATATGTATGGGGGATTATTAGTCTACTCTCGGGCATGACTCGATATTTTGACAATAAATACAATTTCATTTCATAGCTTTCACTCCTGGAGCATCCTTTGAGAACCAATCGCTGTCTTAAGGGTTTCACAGACATTTCTCACGACTGCCTTATACAGTAGGGTACTATTCTGACCCCCCCTTTTATAGATAAGCAAACTAACGAAATGTCAACCAGTTTGGGGTGGAGCCAAGAGGTCAGCCAGTCAGCTATCATCTCAACAAAGCCTCAGAAGCCAAGTAAATGAGAGATTTCTACCTTTTCCATTTCACAAAGCCTGTTCGCACATGGGCTGCAGCACATGCTCACAGGCAGTCTCCCAAAACCACGTGCCCACCATCAGCACCGGGGAGGGCGGAAGGTGCCGGAAGGCAGAAAAGGAGCCGACAGGCAGGGGATACAGGGGGAAAGGGAAACAACAGAACCAAGGCGGTGACACACGGAGACAGTCATGGAAAGGGGCGGATGGAACAGACGGGAGAGACAAAGGCAAAGGAGGTGGGGGGCTGCCAAAATGCTTAGATGGAAGACCGACAGAGCCGGCCGCCTTCCTTCTGCCCCCACCCCTAACACCAGCCAAAGAGGAGAAGGCCGCGGAGCAGGAGGTGGGGCCAGACACTGAACATGCAGCCATGCCCGGACGTAATTACAGATCTGCGTTTGGCGAGGTTACCATGTACTCTTCTCTCCCCGTCCTGCCCCCAAGGCAGTCGCTGTTCTTTCCTGTGACCTTCCAAGTTCAGACTTAGCTTCCCCCGACTGGCTCCGATCTCACAATGGGGAAGGAAGGGAAGAGGAAGGAATTACTTATTCATCTAAGCAATTTTTAAATTCTTTAAAACAGTTTCATCGAGATAGAATTCATAGGCCACCAGTGCACCATGAAGCTGCTCTCGGGGCAGAGCCTGTGTGGCTGGGGCTAGGGCACAAGGCCCCCTTCATGCCAGTAAGGCAATCAGGTCAAGGGCTCCCAGGGCCAGCTACCCACAAGGTTTGGATCAAAACAATGGGAAAGGCACCCGCCTGGGGGCCTGCATGTGTGTTGGGGGGACGGCAGACAGGAAAGGCATGAGGATCAGAAAACACAATGGGAGAAAGAATCCTTGGAGCATCTCACAGACTGGCATGAGAGCTCAGGGGACCCCGGGCTTGCCGCAATCCTCCAGTATGCCTTAGTAACGGGGAACCACCTGCTCAAATTACAGGTTAAGAACCACCTTCCTCCCGTAGCAGCATCATATATAATAGTCAAAAGTGGAAATAACCCAGTCATCCGTGGACAGATACAAGGATACACAACCCGTGGAACAGCCATATAGTGGAAGACCGCCGAGCATAAAAAGGAATGAGGTCTCAGCACATGCCACAACACGGATGACCTTGAAAATGATCTGAAGAGCCCCACGCAATGGCCACTTATTGTCCGGTTCCATCTAGAAGGAGTGCCCACCACGGGCAAATCCACAGAGGCAGAAATTAGACTGGCAGTATCTAGGGGTGGGGGGAGAGTGCTAATGGGTATGGAGCCTCTTTTGGGGGGGTGCCGAAAACGTTCTAAGATGAGGCTGTGGTGCGGGTTTGCACAAGCCTGTGAATACGCTAAAAAAGTATTGAACCGTATTCATGAGAGGAGGGTGTTTTATGCCATGTAAAACAAATCTCAATAAAGCTGCAGATCGATTTTTTAAATTCAACTAACAAATAAGTTGTTCCTTTTTTCCCTTCCCTCCCAAAGATAAGAAGTTTCTCTCTTGCTATCATGACAGTTTTATTTTCTGTTCTTTAGCACAAAAGCAGAAGCAAAGGGGAGCTTTTATTTATGCAGATGACAATTAACCAAATGCCGTGAACACAATGAGAAGCAGCAATAAAACATGAGACAAAAGTCAAACTCTTTCCACTGCTCTGTTCCCGCACCTAATCCTGATGACCGGGCTGAAATACTCCTAGGTAGGCTAAGGGCCACCAGCCCTCCACACATTGTCCTCGGAGCACAGACCGGCCACACTCCGTCTGCTTGTCTGGAACCCAGCATCCAACTTTTGACCACTGTACTTAGGGGTTACCACAGAAGGTGCATCGCCTTAATAGATGGCTAATTTGCAGACTAGATAAAAAGTTTACCAAAATCCAAAGACTTTCTGCATCGGTTTCTACTTTACTTGAACACAAGAGAGAATCACGACTCTTTCTTTAAAAAAAAAAAAAAAAAAATCTATCCTGTTCTTATTGGGTGACCCTCTCTACAGTACATTTTATATTCGCTGTTTCCCTTCCAAGAGCCTTTACAGAATGACCAGAGAAGAAGGACAAATCAGAACAAGTTACCTCACCAACCTAAGTCTGCATGTCCTAACCTGTAAATAGAAAGGCCACCCAGAATTACGGCGAAGGATATTCAGTCTCAAAGGGATCAGTCAGTCTGTGTCTATGAATCATGGAGACAGAACTAAGTGCAGAAGCTGAGTTCCAGGAAACTTTAGTACAACCACAGTTTCTTGAAATTTTAATAAAGTAATTTCCTCTAGGATTAAAATAATTTAAAAACTATGACACAGTTTCTTGGCAAACCTTCTCTGAATAATTGTGGGAGGCAAGTAAGGAGCAAAGGAAGGAAAAGAGCTTCCAATTCTCTTATACTCAGCTAAGGTGCTTTCATGTAAAATCCTGGAATTATCTGTTTACCACATTACTACGGGCAGATCAACAATATGGACAGCTGGCAGGCCAAATGATAAATCTTATCCTAGTTGAAAACAAAATATTGTCTAAGAAATTCCTGGACAGCAGGAACTGATTTGGGGGCATGAGAGAAAGAAAATAGGTAGATTGCACTGTCACCTAACCCGGCAGGCAGTCACCTCTAAACAAATTCCCAGCTCTGCGGAAGGCAGGTGAGATACACAATATTCCATTGTTCTGCAGGCCTCGAAGACCCACACTCACACTCAAGCAATCCCTGCTCAGTCCTCACTTCTCCAGGCACTAACTGCTGGTAATCAGAGAACACACCTACACATCCACACACCTGCAGAGACCAGGACCAGCGCTGGCCAGAGCTGGGTACCAGACGGAGAGAGATGGATCCTTGACCCCTAGGTACACAACAGGGGAGTCCTGGTGACCCGCTAAGTAAGACTGAGTGGAGCCACGGGGATACGAGTGATTGACACGGAACTGACCACGATGAGCAGCATGCAAAGACTATAAATCAGCCCATGAAAACTGATGAGATATCGCAAGCCGGCCCCACACTTTGGAAGGAGATGGCCAACCACAGGGGTGCAGTATGTTTCTGAAGACACAGGCCAACTCCTTGTGATCACAGAAAGTACAACAGCAGTAAGGGAGGCTGGGGACCTCAGACTCGGGTCCGAACAGAGAGCTTTTCTTTCTGGTTACCAACTATCCATCCTTTGATTTTGGCAACCCCCAACTGCTTTAAAACCTCGAATCAAACTAGTCTGTCTCCCAGTAGCTTATTCACAAGATACATTACTAGGGATGTAAGTAACCGTTCAGTATCTTATTATTCCATAAAACTTCCTTCTTCCCCAGCTGCAGCTATAAAGCACATAAAGCACTAGGGGGCTGCATTTATACGTAACGGTAATGCCACCCGAAACCACCACTGAACTCACAGTATGCCAAATGAGTAAGTGGGACTTACCAATTTTCTGATTAAAAATCTTGTCAAAGGTGATTTCATTTCTCTCCTGAAGATACTTCTGCATCACACTCCGGATACTAAAAGAGAAGAGTGACACGTTTTTAGCAGTGACAGCCTGCATCATGAGAAACTAGCCCCAGCGTGGACAACACACAAATGTCTTAACTCGAGGCAGTTGGCTGACCAGAGAGCCCTCGTAATGACATCCGTGACTGCATGGAGGGCTGATGGCACTTAAAGCTGGGGGCGTCATGACCCCAGCTGGTGCCCCCTCCCATGACTCAGGGCCGACCTGACATGTGGACACTTGACCAAAAATAACTTAAGGACTGACTGTGGAAAGCTTGCCCTCAACACCACCGTTTTTCAAAATACACACAAGCATGTGCACACGTGACACATTCTGCTAATCGATTAATGAGCTTCTTTCTAAAACAAAAGCAAATGTTCCCTGGATACATGACTGAGATTTTTAAAAACCACATTTCTATACATCAACAATAAACAGCGAGAAAACATAATTAGAAGGAAGATTTCACTTAAGATAAAATAAGAAACACCAAATGCCTTGAAATAAATCCTTCAAAATATGTGCAAGAACTTTGTAGGAAAATTACAAAATGTACTGAAAGACATAACAGAAAACCTCAATAGATGGAAAAGTACACCACAGTTATGAACAGAAAGATTTAATACTGCAAAAAAACCAACGTCTACCCAAATTTATCTATAAAATCAATTCAACCCCAACTCCCATCACTATTCCACAGAGTTTTTCATAGAACATAGAAACAATTAGGTCTTTATAAACTGTATACAGAACAACACAGGATCAAGAATAGCAAAAACATTTACAAAGAAAGAGAATATCGAGAACAAGGCTCATTATGAAGCTAAAATAATTAAGACAGGATAAACAAATTAATCAATGAAATGGAATAGAGAGCACATAAATATGGAACTTTAATATATAAGGCAGAAAAGGCAGAAAAATGGAGAAACTGGGATTATTCAACAAGTGAACCAAAAGTGAATATCCAAACGGAAAAAGTAGAAACTGAGTCTCCATCATCCACTGGTGGGAAAAAAATTGGCAGCAGCACCACCCCCCTTTTAAAAACTTTTTAAAACAAACTGATTGAGGTATAATCTATATATAGTTAAATGCATATTTATGTGTACCAATAGACGAGTTTTTCACATATAACTACTATCCTAATCAAGATACAGAATGTTTCTTTTTTTTTTAAGATTTTATTTATTTGAGAGAGAGCACGAGTGGGGAGGAGGGGCGGAGAGGGAGAAGCAGACTCCCCGCTGAGCAGGAGGCCCCAGGAAGAGCTCCATCCCAGGATCCTGGGATCATGACCTGAGACGGAGTCAGACGCTTAACTGACTGAGCCAGCCAGGTGCCCCCAAGATACAGAATATTTCTATCACCCCAAAAGGTGTCCCTTTGCAAGTCTCCCCATATTCTAGGGATCCAGTCAAATACTGATCTCCTTTCTGTTAATTCAGATTACCTACTCCTTCTAGAATTTTAGATAAATAAAATCACACAATATGTTGTCTTGTGTGTCTGGCTTCTTTCACTTGACATAAGCAAGCTTCCTCCATATTGCTGTGCACATAAGTATTTAGGTCCCTCTTATTGCCAAGTAGTATGGCATTGTATGAATATTCCACCATTTGTTTACCCATTCATCTGTTGATAGACATTTGGGTTGTTTCCAGATTGGGGCTATTATGAATAAAGCTGCCTTAAATATTTTAAGTCTTTATATGAGCACATGTTTTCATTTCTCATGGGTAAATATCTAGGAGGGAAATCGTTGGTCATATGGTTAATTATATTTAACATTATGAAAAACAGCTGAATTATATTCCAAAATGTGTGATATTACATTCCCACCAACAATGCATGAAATCCCAGTTGCCCCATATCCCTTTGCCAACACTTTGGTTGTCAGTCTTCTCAGTTTTAGCCATGTTAGGTAGTGTAGTGGTAGCTTATTTTAACTTGCATCTCCCTAATGAATGATGATGTTGAGTATGTTTGCACATTACTGGCTTATTGGAGTGCTTGCATCTTCTCCTGTGAGGTGTGCAGTGACATCTTTTGCCTACCTTTTAACTGAGTTGTCTGTCTTATGACTCAATTGTAAAATTTCTATGTCCTGGAAACAAGTCCAGTGTCAGATTTATGTGATTGTAATATTTTCTCCCAGTCCACACCCTGTCTTCATTTCCTTCGTGAAGTCCTTCCAAGAGCACAAGTGTCTAGCTGATGAGTTCCAATGTATTATTTCCTTGGTGGACCACGCTAAGAAATCTTTCACATCCCATGGTCATGAAGATTTTTAACCTAATATTTTCCTTTAGAAATTTTAAAGCTCTAGCTTTTATGTTTAGGTCTAAGATCCATTTCAGGTTAATTTTTGTGTATGATGCAAAGTAAAAGTTCAAGGTTCTTTTTTTCCCTTATAATACCTAGTTATTCCGGTATTGTTTGTTGGGGGGGAAAAAAGGATCCTTTCTCCATTGAATTACCCTGGCACCTTTGCTGATGCAACACTAAATTTGGGTAGGTCTATCTTTGGGCTATCCTGTTTCATTGATCTGTATGTCTATCCTTCCATCAATACTACATTGTCTTGATTGCTAGAGGTTTACAGTGGTCTTGAAATCGGGTAATCCAACTTTGTTTTACTGCTTTTGTGGGGTTTTTGGTTTGTTTGTTCATTTTTTGGCTATCCTAGGTTCTCTGCATTTCCATTTCAGTTTTTTCCCAGAAATTTCTTCCCAGAAAAAGCCTGATGGGGCTCTGATTTGGATTGTGCTGAATCTATAAATCAGTCTGGGGGGAATTAACCTCTTAATAATATGAAGTATACAATCCATAAACATGACATACTTCTCCATATACTTAGGTCTTCTTTAATTTCTCTCATTGCTATGTTGTAGCTCTCAGTACAGAAGTCTTACCTTTGCTTGCAATCGCTTTCTCTGGTTTTGATATCAGGATAATATGATTCATAAAAGGAGATGGGGATTATTCCCTTCTCCTCTATTTTCTAAAAGAGTAGTGTTAATTATTCCTTAAATGTTTGATAGAACTCATCAGTGAAACCATGTGAGTAGAATTTTCTTTGCAGGAAGGTTTGAAACTTACACATTCCATTTCTTTCATAGATGTAGGGCTACTTCTATTTTCTGTTTCTTCTTGAATTAGCTTAGGTGACTTGTGTCTTTTAAGTAATTTGTCCATTTCATCCAATCTGTCTAGTGGAACTCAAAATAATGATTCTGAGTAAGAGAAGCCAGGTCAAAAGAGACAGAGACAGAGAGAACATACTGTTTGATTACAGAGAGGCAGGAGCAAACACTGGGGGGATGATGTGTATGGTAAAATAATATACATACATCTCTTGGCACAGGGCTCCTAAAACCCTTGGAATTTCTTAGTGGTAGAAGTATCTTATTCATAATAAGCCCTTTTCAGCCCTACCTGAGTTAATGCTAATGGAGGTAACTCTTGGTAGGCCCCTAGACAGCTTCAGGATGGAGCCAGCTGCCAGAGGAACCAACCATGTGATTAGAGGGTTGGAAATGTTAGCCCCACCACTTGACATCTGAGAGACTAGGGACTGAGTTCAACTACCAGTGACCATAATTTAATTAAGCATGCCTATGTAATGAAACTTGGATAAAAATTCTAGAACGATAAGGTCTAGAGAGCTTCCGGGCTGATGAACCCATGGATGTGCTGGGACAGAGGTGCTCCACTCCACCCCTTCCCACAAGACCTTGCCCTATGTAACAGCCCCTTTGAAGTTCCTGATTTGTATCCTTTACAATAAACCGAACCATAAGGATAGCACCTTCTTGAGTTCTGGGAGTCATGCCAGGGAAATACCAAACGTAAGGGGAAGATCATGGGACCCTCAAACTTGCAGTCAGCCAGAGAGTAATGCAGATAGGATCCCATTTGCAGCTGGCATCTGAAGTGGGGCAGTCTTGTGGGACTGAGCCCTTAACCTGGGAGTCTGTGCCAACTCTGGGTGGTTAGCATCAGAATTGAATCCAATTGCAGGGCACCCAGTTGATGTCAGGGAATTGAGAATTGTTGGAAGGTGACATAATGTATGTGCTTGTTATCTTAATTTTGTTAATGGCTTCACAGGTATTGACAAATTTTGCCAAACTAGACATCTGAGATACGTAATTTGTTTTACATTAATTACATCTCAAAAAAGCTGGGTTTTCTAAAATTATATCACAAGGAGGTAATCAGCAAAATCTTGAGTGTTGGAAATTCTCTACAACACCTGACCCTATTTCTTTAACAAAAAAATGTCAAGAGGGAAAAATGGACAGGAACCTATAGTTAAAAAAAAAAAAAAGCTTAAAAAAAATAACAGGCATAATGGATGGACCTTATTTAAAACTCAATTCGAGTAAAAAAAATATCTTATAAGAAATGGAGAAATGTGAATACAGACTGAATATCTGATGTTAAGAAAGTATTACATTTTAGCAATGGCAAGGTATTATATTTTTATATTTTAAAAGATTTACCTTTTGGTGATACATACAGAAATTTTACAGATGAAATGATCTATTATGTCTACATCTGCTTCAAAATAATCTAAAGGGAATTAGGAGGTATGGATGAAACAAGATTGGCTATGTGTTGATAACACATAAAGTTGAGTAACTGCTACATCAATTTCATTATACTATTCTCTCTGTACGTGGTTAAAATTTTCATTACAGAAAGTTTTTTAAAAAAATCAAGTTCTGGCCTCCAGACTCCTGAACCATTTCTTTACATACCTCCTCATCAAAACAAAGCACGTATACTATATATAAAACCCTATATATTGATTGGAGGCCTAATGAATTTTTTTAAAAATTTAATGCCAAATGGTTAGAGATATATCAACCCTACCCATCATGACCTACTGGGGGCCTGCCATATAAATACCACACAAGGTAAGTATAATAAATATCATATCATAATTTAAAATTTTTTTCTGCTACTAAAGTTCTTGAAAGATCTGCTCTCTACTGGCCA